CGGACATTTTGGATCTAGAAGGTTTTAACAATGTCTTTGGATGGCATGCATACTTGTGGTATGATAAGGTTAAAGCACATAAAGCCTTTAAGAACCATATTGTTAGGAAAGCATTGTTTAATGTCTGGGTGAGATATAAGGATTTGCTGGAAAGTAAAACACCAAGGTGGCTGTCACCAATGGAGGCTAAGGCTCTGAAAAAAATCAATATGGAAACAAATTGGCCAAAATATTGTGAAATTTTAGAACAAGATGGAGATAGATTAAAGCTACAGAGCTTTGACAATTTAAAAACTAAAGTACGAGACTGGCTTCATTACTATCAAATAAGGGAGGCTTATAATTTAGATAAGAAAATTGGTTTCCAGGTGGAAAAATCAAAATTGGAAACAGAATTGTTAGATCCTAAAACCAAGAATTTGTCAAGAATGTATAACTTGCTGTTGAAATGGAATACTCAGGATGAAACGGTTAAATCTGTTATGATTAAATGGGCACAAGACGTTGGACATAATATTATGTTTGCTGACTGGGAACAGTTATGGACCACAGGTATTAAGTTTACGGCATGTAATGCCTTAAGAGAAAACATAATGAAAATGATTTACAGGTGGTACTTAACCCCAGTCAAGCTGGCAAAAATTTATCATTTGCCTGATAATAAATGTTGGAAATGTAAAGAGATTGAGGGTACATTTTTTCACCTTTGGTGGACATGCCCAAGGATCAAGGCCTTCTGGGAGATGATTTATAATGAAATGAAAAAGGTATTTAAGTATACCTTCCAGAAGAAACCAGAGGCCTTCCTTCTGGGCATGGTCGGACAATCGGTGCGAAGGGAGGATAGAACCTTCTTCATGTATGCTACAACAGCAGCAAGAATACTCATTGCAAAGTATTGGAAGACACAAGAATTACCCACCCGAGAAGAATGGCAGACGAAAATGATGGACTATATGGAATTGGCTGAGATGACTGGCAGAATTCGAGACCAGGGAGAAGGGTCGGTGGAAGAAGATTGGAAAAAAATTAAAATATATCTTCAAAAGCATTATAATATTAAAGAATGTTAGAAAGATGTTGGAAAAAGAAAATTAGGCAGTTTTGGTAGATATGAGATAAAGGACTAAGTAAAAATGAGTTGATGAAATTGATGAAATAGAGGATATTTAATTATAATACTTTAAAATTAAATTACGCAAATGAAAATAAGATTGGAAGGATTTGCTGAAAAAAACCAATCTGAACTAGAATACAAAATTGGGAGGTGAGAGGAGGTCAAGGAAATAAGTAAGGGGAAAAAGTTATGTAAAGGTTTAATTTGTTTTTGTTCTATTTTAATGCAATGCTTTTCTATATTTTTTGTTCTGTCTTTTTCATTGTATTTTATTGTTCTTTTTTTTCTTTTTTCTCTTTTTATGCTATGTTCTGTTATGGTTAAATTTGGAATAAATATCATTTAAAAAAAAGAGAGAAAATGGACTTGATGACTGTTGTGGTTAATAACTGTGGACAAACAGGGAACATTGATATAGAAACTATTCAGGGACCAACTCATGAACCTGTACTGACTGGGCAAGTGCAGAAGATAATGGAGGAGGATGCGGTTGCACCTCAAATAATACAAATGGAGAGACCCGAGGCCCTACAGGAACATAAGCCGATGTCATTGAAGATTGAAGTTGGAGCGGGCCAGGGGAGTCTGGAGTTGAGGAGGTTCCCAACTTTGGAGAGACCTTGAAATATGCTTTTAAATACTTTTTGGATTACATTGATGACTGTGGGGAGTGGGACTGTGGGGAATGGGCGGGTTTGATGAAGGGAGAAGGAGACAATTTTGGGTTGGAATCCCCCAGAGACCTACTCCTCAATGAGAAAGGAAAGAAATTAAGAAAGAGACCAACAAAAGACAAGGAAAAGGGCAAGTATAAACAAGAAGAAGAAGATCTGCAGAAGGGACATGGAAGAGACTTAAGAGCCTCGGACATAAGACTTCCAGGCTGATGGACTAGATGGAATGGACAGTAAGGACTGACATGACCCAAGACCAGGAAGAAGAGACGTTGGATGAAGATTGGAAGAAAATTTATAAAGAAAATTTTTATTTAGGGAATTAGCCTAAAATCAATGATTATTAGGGAAAATGTTGGAATGAAACTATATGACTCTAGCAGAAATGATATCAGGAGTTATGTATATTTGAGTATCAAGATTCAAGCTTCAAGGTACTTTATGGTAAGATAAGGCTAAATAAATTAAGGTAATTTGAATAACAGAATATGGGGAAAGATGGAAAGGATTTGTTGAGCTAATTATTAGGTTAAATTGTTAAGATAAATTATTTAACAAAAATTGAGAAAGATGGAAAGAATTTGCTGAAATAACTAATTAAATTAGAATACAAAAAGGGAGGTGTGAGGAGGTCAATGAAACAAGCAAATGGAAATTATAGATATGTAATTTGGGATTTGTGTCTTTTTCCCCCTTTTTTAATCTTTGCTGTATTGTTGTATTGGTTTTGCGTTTTTTTCTTTTTATGTATTGTAGTGTTGTTTTTATTTTTCTTCTTTTCTATAATTCTGAAACTATTAATAAATATTGTTTAAAAAAATATGAAAGACTCCAAACCAAAAAAACCTCTGACACTTTTGTACTTGCCTGTTTATAAAATACTAGAGTAGGGGTGTTGAGAAAGAACAAATAAAATCTTTTAAGACAATGTCCCTTTCTCTGGGAGACTATAGCCCTTTACAGAAATTCAACAGGCATAAAACAAACACATTTTAAAAGAAGCAGGTGTCACAGTTGAAGACCCAATACAAATTTTGGGGGGAAGCAGTGATCAAAATTATACATTGTATGCCCATCACCAATAAATATTTTTACATTGGATGTGGCATTGTTCTCCTGAACAAAATTATGATGGTGATTATGATGATGGAATCAAGGAAGCATCTCAAAGAGGAAATATTGTAGTGAAGGGTAATTTCACATGCCCTCACCGAGACTTGCTACATATGTGTTCCAGTCATGACACAGAGTTATAATTTCCAGATACTGTAAATGACTGTGCCATAGAACAGTTGGTCTTGGAACCACCTAGCAGGACAGTGACCTGTGTGTCAAATACTCCAATTTCTGCATCCATGTTTGATGGTTGGTTCCAGAGACACTGGAATCAGTCCAGTTGTGGTATGCTTGATGGCATGATGATGGGGTCTCACCCATGTCTGTGCCCTGCAGCACCCCAGTAGCCCCTGTGCCAGCGCTAAGGGGCTGGGAGAGGATATACCTTGCAAGCTCCTCTAGAGTCATCTCCATGATACTCTCCTGCCAGAAGGTTAGCGTGGTGTTTGTTTCTAAGCACTCAATACATCTCAAAGAGCAGAGGAAGAATTTACAGAGAATCCAAGAGATAGATGCCTCTGAAGTATCTCCTCCTCCTCCTCCTCCTCCTCCTCCTTGAAGATCTCCATCCTGACTGCCAGCTTCATTCTATTAGAGCTCAGCAGCTCCAAGAAACTTTAGTTAGCCCCTGATGGTAGCAGCTGCTCCCTGCACCACCCACACCTTGGCTTGACTGATGGAGTTGTTGTCTTGGCTTCATACAGATAGATGTAACCTTCTTAAATGGATAGTGATGATAAGAACCCTTTGACTCAAGGAGATCCCCTACCTTTTTCAATACTTGGCCTTGATGCCCACCTGTTCTTCCACTGTTTCCATAGAAATGAGCTTGGCGCCTTCCCTCTCACATCTTTTTTGTGAATCAGCCCATGAAGATTGGTCAGGAGAAAGGAAATACATTGTCCTTTGATATATAAACCAACCACCATTCAAGTTACCAATAAGGAGGTCTTTAAGTTAAGCCAGATATAGAGGAAGAAGAAAAAGAAAACAAAATAGGAATTCAATTTCAGCTTAAAATTCAAATTCAAGATAGGGAATTTAATGGGAACCACTTTGTATGCCTGTGCAGATTTCAATTATTTTTGTTAAGTTCATTTCTGTCGCCGCATGGTAACATATATTCATCTGGGAAGCTCAGAAATCTTAAAACAAGAAAAACATTAACTCTTCAACCCATGTTGATGCTGCAGTAAATACCTGGGTGGGCATAGGTGGAACAGGGAGTGCAGTCAAGAACCTCACCTACTTGTTTCCACCTGGATACTTAGGGCAGCATCAGGGCAGACTTGAAGGTTGGGAAGGGGGAGTAGCTGTGGTTTATCAAAATTCTCTTTCTCTCTACAAGCTCTCTGTTCAGTTGCAGAGGGGGCAGGAATCTAGTGTGTGTGTGTTGCTGGCATTGGGCAACTGGGACAGATGAGGGATTCTGCTGGTTTACCACCTGGTTTGCTGCAAAGCAGTCTCCCTGCCTGAGCTGACAGGATGGATCTAGTGGGCTTCCAAATGGCTCTGGGGGATTTTCCAGCTGATCTGACAGGTGCTCCTGCTGACCTTTGGCTGATCTCTGGAACATCCGAATAATAATAATAATAATAATAATAATAATAATATGCTGCCTGTTGTTGTTGTTGTTGTTGTTGTTGTTGTTGTTGTTGTTGTTGTTGTTCATATGCTGCCCATCTGACTGGGTTTCCCCCCAACCACTCTGGGCGAATTCCAAAAAATTAAAACACAATTGAACACCAGCCATATAAAACTTCCCTGAACAGGGCTGCCTTCAGATGTCTTCTGAGAGTAAGATAGTTCTTTTCTCCCCTTGAGATCTGGTGGGAGGGAGTGCCACAGGGTGGGTGTAACTACTCAGAAGGCCCCTGCCTTGGTTTGGGCCATTGACACAATTGGCCCTGCATGCCCTTTCAGTTGACCTCTTTTGATTGTCTCTGCAGAGGCGGGGCTCTCATGGGTGAAAATAATAAAGGACAGGTCTTTTAGCTGACCTGTTTTGATTGTCTCTATTATAGCAAAGAATGACAGTCTTTTCTTTCATAACCATAGAGGCTAAATAAATTCAAAAGTTCAGGAGAACTGAACTAAATATCTCTGATGTTTCGGAACTTCCGGTGGAGCGCGATCCTCCCGCAAACGGGGATTTTGCCGGGAGGCAAATCCCGTGCTATTTCGGACAAGGAAAGGGTGCTACAGGGCGCAGTAGCCCCTAAATTTAATCTCTGGAGGGTGTCCAGAGAGTCAGGTTCCCGGCAACGCCAAAAGCTACCCGCCCGGCCATCAGGTAACTCCAAAAAGGAGCGAAGAGTACGGCGGAGCGGGGATAGCAGGCTAAGGGAAGCCATTGTCTACAGCCGAATAGCGAAGCCCCGAGCTTGCAGGGAAGCGCTCCGCTCTCAAATATAAGAAATTCGGACCTAAAAATTACAGATTGGATGGTGGTTAATAAAGGAAGGATTCGGGGGGAAAGAGAGAAGATTACGGCGTTCAGCTGTCATCTGGAATCAGCTCAGACGCAGCGCTTTACACAGAGCTGGGAAAAGGAAAGTGAGTTGCCGCTAGCAGTTACTGTTGCTTTCTATCCTTTAACTTGTTTCTTTTTAAAAGTATCTCCTTAAGGAGCTACAAAGAAATAAAAGACTACTAAGTTAAAGGGGGAACAGAGAGATACTATTTTGAAAATTGGCAGTCTTTTGATGTAACGGAGGGTAAAAGAAAGATCGAAGCTCCTGCTTACTTTTGGTTTTAAAAGACAAAGAATTGCGTAGCGGAAAAGGAGCTTCCGACGCCATTGGCATTTTTAATAGTAGTGACAAAGACAAAAGACAGAACGGCGACGGTAGTGGATAAAAGTTGTTTATCTGGCTTTTCTTTCTTTCTTTCTTTCTTTCTTTCTTTCTTTCTTTCTTTCTTTCACTTTGAGTTTTATTGACAAAATAGATATTAGGGACCCTAGCCAAACAAAATTACTGTTATTTGGACTTGGGAAAACTTCTCTTTAGTTGGAGTATTTTTAACGTGTCTCAGATTTGGATTTATGACCCCTAGTGGATGGAATACATCACTACAATTTATTTTTTTTCTAAGATCTTCTCATTGAAAGACTGATTATAATTGGAAAGAGACTGGCTCCTGTTTACATTTGGAATTTCCTGTTTTCTTCCTACATTGGCGATTTTGGAGTTTCGCTCTGGGAATTTTGGTTCAATACTTGGATTGATTTTGGAATATGGATCTAATGCAGACTTAAACTTCTGAATTGGCTTTCAGATCATTTGTTTATTACCAGTTTATTATTATTATTATTATTATTTATTATTTCACTATTACTGAAGACTAACTGTTGGGTTTTGGGACTTTCTGGATTAATTTGGAGGGAGTGGTTTGCTCTCTTTTTTCTTCTTTTTTTGAGGGAATTTTTGTGCTTGCCAAACGTATAACTAAAATATAATTGGATTACAAACGGTACAAAGGAATTTCAGAAGATTACCTGAATAAGGATTTAGCCTAATTGGTGGCAAGAAGATTGATCATATTCCGGCCCCTGTTTTGGTCCTCTACTCCTTTTAAATAGTTTTGCTTTTTTACTGCTTTTCAATAGTTAAATTTACGGTTGGGCCGAAAATAGAAAATAGACAATTTACAAACTATAAACTACAAATCAGAAACCTGAACAAAAGATAAAATTGGACTTGACCAATATTTAGAAACTGGATTTCTGTAATTTGGGACATTTGTTGGATTTGTTTTTAGGGTGGCTGGTGGTGCTATAAAACGGTGTTGTGGAGAATTTGTCTGATAATTTTTATAAGATGACACACCAGCAGAAGAAAGGGATGGAAGGGGGGTCCACAACAGATAGGAGGGCTTCTAAACAAGAAGCAGATTTCAAAGCAGAAATTTTGAAAATGTTTGCTGAAATTAAGCAAAGTGAGAAGAATTTAGAAACTAAATTAGAACAAGTTGATAATAAGATTGGGAAAATGGACAAAAAAATTGATGAGACAGTTAATGAACTTAAAGGGCAAATAAAAGAGGTATCTAAGAGAACACTATCTTTAGAGGAGGGGATCAAGAAGATAAAATTGGAAATGAAGGAAGTGAAAGAAGAGGAAGAGAGGATCAGGGTGGAGATGTTGGAACTAAATAAATCACAGGAAGAAATTAAATATGTGATCGCCATGAACAAACTGAGACAGAGGGAAGTTAATCTGAGGCTGAGAGCCGTGGCGGAGATTCAGATGGAAAATATCAAAGAAAGATTGATAACAGAATTAGCACAGTGGCTGGAGTTACCAATAGAAGAGGTGTCAAAAACAGTACAAAGTGCATTCAGAATGAGACTTAGGACATAAAAAGAAGTGGGGAAATTCGGAACCCTTGTCGTGTCCCTTTTTCAATTTTAAGTTCTTCCGTCACCACATTATTTACAATTAATTTAGCCTTTTGTTCTGAATAAATTGCACTTATACCATTCTCAAAGCCTTGGCCTACCCCCATACCCTGTAGATTCTTCTTCATAAAGTTCCAAGAAATGTTGTCAAAGGCTTTTTCCGCGTCCACAAATATCAGAACTGCTTTAGTGTTTATATTCACTTCTAGTTTTTCCAGAATATCAATTATATTCCTCAAATTGTCCGACAGATGTCTTCCTGGGAGAAAGCCCGCTTGATCTTTATGAATCTCTTCCATCAACACTTTTTAAAATCTCTTGGCCAAAATGTCAGCAAAAATTTTGTAATCCACATTAAGTAATGATATAGGGCTGTAGTTCTTAAACTGTGTCTTTTCAGTCTCTGTTTTCGGTACAAGTGTAATATATGCTTCTTTCCACGACTCTGGTGCTCTTTTCCCCTCCATTATTTCATTACAGACCTCTTTCAAAGGTTGTATTAACCATTCTTTCAAGGATCTATAGTATCTAGAAGTCAAACCATTGGGTCCTGGAGATTTACCCAATTGCATATTTTGAATGGCACCTTCTATTTCCTGTTCAGTTATTTTATAGTTCAAAATTAATTTGTTTTCTTGAGATATTTTTTGTAATCCCTTTGTTTTCAAAAATTGATCTAGGTCTGTTTCTTTCAATGGCCCTTGGGTATATAATCATTTAAAGTACCTCTGGAAACAACTTCTGATCTCTGCAGGGTTCTGTATATTTCTTCCTTCCACTTCTAAGTTCGTAATTGTATTTAGTTTTTGTCTCTTTTTCATTTGCCATGCCAACAGTTTACCACATTTATTGGCCGACTCAAAAGTCTTTTGTCTCATTTGTTTAATTTTCCATTCTATTTCCTGATTCATCATTTCCATATATTGTACTTGGTATAACTTTAACTCTCTCAAAATCTCTTGAGATTTTGGGTTTACTCTCAGTCTTTTTTCACATTCCTTTATTTTGTCCATTATCTTATCCTTCTTCTCATTTTGAGTTCTTTTCTTTATTGCATTCTGTTGTATTAAGAACCCTCTCATAACCGCTTTACTTGCGTCCCAGATTACTCTTTTCTCCACGTTGGTACTGAGGTTTATCTCAAAATAATCTCTCAAAGTTTTTTGGGCCTTCTTGAGTAGTTCTTCATCTCTAAATAAGGTGTCATTCATTGTGATGGGATGATGAGCTGCTTGTGCGTAAAATAGTATCCCCTCAGAGTTTGTTCAAGTCCACAAACCTCTGTCTGTGACGGAGCCCCTCAGACATGGCTCCTCTAGTCACTAGCAGATTCCGACAGTGGTTGCTTTCGAAATCGCTTCCAACATAAAAGCTCCTTAACGGAAACACGTCTTCTGGACTCTCTGCGTGACAGTTTCCGGCGAGGAGTGGGTGTTCCTACAGGAGGTCCTGAAACCTCCCCACTGTTTTCGCTGGAAGTGTCTCTGAGCCATCCCTCCAGCTCACTTTCCCTCAGCTCAGCTCCTCTCCCCTACTGGTTCCCTCTTCAGCTGCTGAGTCTCTCCCAACCTGTGTGAGCCCTTTCACCTCCCTTCCTTCCGATGGCAGTTCCCTGACATCCACCTCCCCCTCCAGGGCCCCTTTCACCCCCTCTCGCCCCCTCCTCTACGGGCGGTGAGGAGGCAAAACCCGGAATGAACTTCCTTCATCTTCCGATGTCTCGAACACTTCTCTCCACCTGTTGCGGTTCCTGGTCTCGAAGTACTCCTCCTCCTCAGAGTCCATCTCCCCTTCCCCTTCCGAGTCCGGGAATCCTTCCAACTCCTCCTCCTCATCAGTGGTCCCAAAGTATTCCCTCCGGAACCTCTCCACAGGCTGAGGTTTCCTTGGGAACCTTTGATGGAACGTTTCTATCAATACCTCGTCATTGATATCTTCGGCCATTACCCAAGTGTTTTCTGACTCCGGTTCTCCTTCCCACGCTACCAAATACTCCACCTGATCCCCCTTCCACCTGGCGTCGAGGATTTCTGCCACATGGCTGCTGCATTCTCTTTCTTCTATGACCGGTCCCAGTGGCCATCCCTTCTCGTCCCCCTTCGTACGGTGACAGTAACGACCTGTGAAATACTGGGTGCAGTTTCATGTGGTTGGGTAACCGGAGCCTGAAAGCCACTGGGTTGACCTGTTGAATGACCTCAAAGGGACCCAACCTCCTGGGTCTTAATTTCTTACAACCTCCTTTGAACGGCACCCCTTGGGTTGACAGCCACACCCTATCTCCCACCCTTATGGTTTCACCTTCCCTTCGGTTCTTGTCTGCCTGCCTCTTGTATTCTTCCTTCGCCCTTTCTAAGTTGAGTTGGAGCTGACGATGGATTGCTTCCATTTCTTCCACAAAATGCTCGGCTGCCGGGACGCTCCATCTCTCCCCATCTCCCCTGGGAAAGCCCTGGGATGACACCCATAATTAGCCAAGAAGGGGCTCATCCCTGTGGACACATTCTCGGCATTGTTGTAGGCAAATTCCGCCAGCGCCAACTTTTCTACCCAGTCATTCTCTCTGTCATTGACATAACACCTCAGGTATTGCTGGAGGACACCGTTTGCTCTTTCCGCCTGCCCGTTGGTTTCAGGGTGCCGGGCAGTCGAAAAATTGACCTCCACCTGCAGTAAGCTCATGAGCTTCCTCCAGAACCTGGAAGTAAATTGTTTTCCTCGGTCTGAGACCACCCTCAATGGCACCCCGTGCAACCTAAAAATGTGTTCTACAAATAACTTCGCTGTCTCTTCCGCCGTGACTGCATGCGAGCAAGCTACAAAGTGGCACATCTTTGTTAGTAGGTCTACCACCACCATGATGGCTGTTTTCCCTTTGGACTTCGGCAGATCAGTCATAAAATCTATCGACACTGCCTCCCAAGGTCGTTCTGGGGTTGGTAAGGGTTCTAA